GATGACGCGAGTCTACATGATTTGGCCATGATACATCATCTGCTGGCCCTAAAAGTAACGAAGCAGGATGGCAGACCATATACGGAACCCTCCGAGGGAAGTTCTTTGATTAATTGGTTGAGACAGGGCACCGATGTAGCTTCCAGTTGTGTAATGGAAGGGCACGGGCCATTGTCTGAAAACGCTGAGTGAGCAACATCGCCAACTAGCTCAGTTGTATCGAAGGTTAAGCATGTCGGACAAAAGTGAGATTGAAATGATATCAGACTGCCACGGAGTAACGGAAGTGAATTTGATCACTGCTTTGGGATTTTGCAGCATGGCGAGCTCGATCGAATCGCTAGAACACCTGGAGTGTGCCCACGGGCTGGTTACGTCCTTAAGTGTGGAAGTGTTCTCTGGAGCGTTGTAGACGGATCAGAAAATTGGAGGTTGGCGAGAGGCTCTAGAAAACAAGATGAACTTGAAAGACAGTGAGGCATATCATAGACCTACTGGCTCGAAATATCTTGTGGGTTCGAGCTCCGCACCATATTGCAATAGAAAATACCCTACGCACATTTTGGTAATGGACGCGAGAACGCAGCACATGGTGGTAATGGACGTGAGAAGATCATTCGGGCCGTCCCGAAGAGATCTGAAGGCTAGTTGCAGGACAGAGTGGGTGAAGATTTCATGAGGTTGAGTGAGGGTAACGTGAGTGATATCCAGAGAAAGAAGGCGAGTGGAGTGTTAGCCACAGAATTTCCCACCATTGATGAGAAAGATGACGTACATAGGATCATGACAGAAGTGGAACCGTTGCTGGGAGCTTCAGGGTACCGGACCCGAAGGAATATCTTGATGATCCATGGGGATTAACCTTGTCACTGCCTGGCGCAGACTTTATGATACCCCAAACGCGGGAATATGGTGTTAGTGTGGGACGTGGAGGAGTTGTACTCCACGGGGTTGCCCGACCAAAATCAACCAGTGTCAATTGTGATGGCTAGTGCCATGCTGGCGGTGAGATGGTTTTAATATTGAGGAAGACAGCATAAATAACTGATTATACTTGGTGAGTGACATTAAGTTAAATTTAACGGATGCGTGGCCGTACCACGTCCCAAATTTTTAATCAGCAAGAGCGAGAAGAAATTCTATGACGAGATGACGTAAGTAGTCAGAAAAGAATTTTTATCTAGGACACAAGCAGCCAGAACTAGTACGATGCCATTTATGAAACGCGGTGAGTTGAGGTGGAGTAGATAAATTTCAGTTTTCTTATGCGGTTTTTAAAGTTAATTATGGAGAACTGGAACACTACTTGACAATAACCCGGCGTTATGCCATCAATGTGGACATTGAAAGTCAAACTCCGTGGAGTATGTGCCATTCCTCCATATTGGCACAGCGGAACCTTCCGTCGCAGCACAAAAACGACGTTAGAGGCCTTGTTCGTCGCATATTGATGTGAAGGAGGCTGGAATATTTTAGAAGAAATTTTTTAGAAAAAAACGAATTGCGACGTTACATATCTGAGAAATGCAAAAACGGCCATGTTTGGCCGGAAAATTGTAACATTCGTCTACTGTAGTCACACATGAGGCTTAAGAAAAATAGGCCCTATAACCATTGGCTCAAGAGTCAGGGACACTATCTCTTGTGTTTTTCTACCTCAAATCAGTCGGAGCCAATTCGGTTCGCTTGTGACATGAGACTACGACCCGTTACAGCTTAAAGGCTACTACCAAAATGTCCCCCCACTCTTGAAATAAGAACGTCCCCATACTTAGGTCTCTAGATACCCAAAATACATGAACGCCGTTAAAAACCGGGTCGGAACAATCCGTTAAGTTACTTTTTATTAGACAGTGGAACTTTGATCCATTTCAGATGGATCAACCTAAAACTCGCCTTACCTCAACATAACAATCTTAAAACACACTCTAGAAATTTAAATTGAGTACTCACATCGTAGCACGCTCAAGAACTGGAAGTAATTTAGTTGGTAAGCAACTCGAGAATTAAATAATATAGCTAAATGAGTTTAATGTTTATCAGTTTCAATAACAGGAACAAGTTTTGAACTCTAGAGTATGGTTTCTCGTGAACCATTGGGACACTCAAGCGGTCCACCTTTCCATCGAAGGTTCACTCTAGTCCAGTTTGAATGATAATCCAGTCGAGCAATAATAGTCCAGTTCTCGGGAATACGCTTCCTTCTGTTTCAAATAGGACAGCTCTACTAGTTTTATTGTGACGGAAATTGCGTATGGCAATTCCCTACGGCTTTATCTGGCAACTTTTCCGCGATTGTTACTCGATCGTTCTGATTTCTCTTCTTCGGTTTTCAGTTATCGCGAGAAAATCGTGCATGACAGGCTCCATTCGAATTTTTGAAAAACCAAATTTCACTCCAAACTTCCAAATATGACCGACTGGCACAAATAGAAAAAATAAGCACAACAACTGAAATAGCAAGTGACAGACGGTCGGAAATTTAGAAGAAAATACGAAGCGTCTTATCGTGACGATCGCGCACGATAATACAACTAATTGAAGACAATAGACCGAACGGAGGCTTCAATGGGGAAGAGGGTAAGAGCAGTACCCTCCCGTGCCACGAATTGGGAGTAACAACGACGTTATTACAGAAAAAAAAACTGAATTGGAGGCTCGGCCCCCAGAGACCATCATATGGTCAAGGACTGTGGTAAACTAACTTTTTAGCTACTCTGATGTCCTGAACATTTGAATCAATACCGGTATAATTTGTTATTTTAGAATATGAGTAGCTAGGAAGAGGAAAGGGTCAATCCATTTCCAATGAATTTAATATAGAACCGTCATCAAAAACAAAGAAAAATAGGATATTCGAGCTTTGTTTTTAAAAGCGACCACGTAGTTTGGGGATCCGAGACCCAGCTATGTGGTTGTCTTCGCATGTAAACAGAAGCTGATTAAAAGTCAGTTGGCTGATGGCCTGAAAATAGTACTTTTTTACTTAGCCCGAAACAGACCAGAAAATCAACTGGCTAGGTCAAGACGGTGAAAACCGAGTAGAATTTAGGTAGGTGACGCCGGCCAGTCGTCTATAGAAACTTTTTCTACGCTCCGTCACTGTAGTATTTGGGCGAATGTTACCCACATAACTGGGTCTCGGATCCCCAGACTACGTGAACACTACTAAAAACGCGGCGCGGAAAACATTATTCGTTATAGTTTTAATGACAGTTATATAATAACTACGTTGGCGTTGGATTGACCTTTCCTCTTTCTAGCTACACATGCTCTGAAAAACAATATAAGATTAGAGTCAATTCAACTACTCAGAGCATCACAGCAGCTACTGTAGTCTACTAATTCTTTGGGCACCGGGCCTCCAATTCCACTCTCCCTCTGAGATAACACTTTTATCTCCTTAATCTCGTGGCGCGGGATGTTACTGTTCCGCTCCGGATATCCCACTGAAGCCTCTTTTTTTCTTTTCGTCTCCAGTTACGCGTCTTATCGTGCGTGATCGTCACGATAAGGGACTTCGTGTTTTTTCTTTCGTTTTTCTCGACTTTTTCTCGTTTTGCTAATCCGATTATGTGTTATTTTGCATTTCTCGGTAAAAGACCGCTGAGAATCGAAATTTTGAAAATCAAAAATTCCAGAATATTCTGACCATCCTTTTCACTGATAATCGATCGCTATGGCCTTTATCGTCATTTTTTTAGTGCCGCGGCGGATTCGACTGAGTCAATCCGGGGGAATGGCACAATTATTTGCTAACTAATTTTTCTTGTGTCGAGTTGCGTGTTCTTATTGAAGAAACGTAACCCGTATCGAGTCTAATTGTAAGGACATCAACACTTGTCATCTTCCTTTATCATAATCACTTCTATATCTAGAAAATTCTAAGGATTTTGACTGGAATACGTGATGAAGGGACTCCTGACTGTAACCTCGGTTAATATGATACTTTTGACCTTCTGATTGTCATTAAAAAATAAGAGAAAAAATTCAACAACAGTTTTCTCATTGTTTTCTTTTTTGGGGTACCCCCTCCCCACTTACCTCACTTTTAGTCCGACCATTCTTCCTTACACTTCCTTCACCTCCTCCCATTTACCCCATTTTTACAAACATTTATATAATCCCCTTCCCCTGCCGAAAATGGAACAATTAAGGGCTCCCAAGCTTATGGTGTAATTTAATCCCTCTATGAATTTTGGAGAGGGGTTGGGCTTAGGGGAGTGTAGTTTAGGGAGAGTGGGGAGGTATGGGATCGGTTGGATAAGTGCGATGTGGTCTCAAAAATAATTATAATCGATTATAATGACAATGTTGTTGACCACGAAAATTGATTATTATTCATGGAACAAATAAAATTAGAAAAAATTATCATGCGTTTAATACTTAGTCGGACTGTTGTTGTTAATTAATTCAAGGAGAGTAAAGTTATTAGCCAATGGAATTTCTTAAAGATGTTCGGAATTTTGTTAGCTAACAAGCTGAAAAATTTGAGGAATTTTTTGTCCAATCAAATTGAGTCTCAATTTAGTGACGAATTTGCTTATTTAATTTAGTCAAAACTAGAGGTATTTAGTTTTTGGGCTATCGGTGTTACGCACTTTCTCAAGGGACCTGTCAATTTTCTAGGGACTACTAACGCAGTAGTACCGATTTTGGAAAGTGCGAGATTCTAGAATGCACTGTTCTATTATTGAACATTTGATGGAAACTGACAAAAATGTGGTATTTAAGGGCTGCGCACAATCGAAATATGTTAATGTTTTCTTTAGCGTATGCTGTGACCATGGTCAATTAGTGCATAGCTGAAAAATCAAATTGTATGTAGTATCCGCCAAACTTTTCAATGAACATCGGGAAACTCGAGTACTTTCTTCGCACTGCGTTCTAAAAACTATGCTCTAGTAGCTTTATTCGATTCAAAACAAAGCTATTAATATTGAGGATAAGCAGACAAAAGTCAAAATGAGCATGTATAAACTGTTTGCCACAAGAAAATTATTTTTCAGTTCAAAAAATGATTATTCTTGGAGCCCCTGTCCCTATACTGATTGTTGCCTGCACCATTATTTTGGAAGCTTCCATCAATTTTATTACTTTAGCGAGGTTGAAATTAATACGCTTTCAATTTCGAAAAGGTAGCAAATTTGATGCAGTCTCATAATTTGAAAGATGACAGTGGGTATCACAATCACAGCACAGTTAGATATATTAATCTACATTTTGATGATGTCAAAGTTCCATTTCTGGTCACGCTGTTTCTTCTGGTTGCTGGAGGGATGAAAACTATCTTCCATCTGTCGAGAAAATTAATCAAAGTAGTGCCAGAAAGCTGTTTCCTAGTAATATTAGGTGAGAGTACTTTTTTAAATTATGTTTTTTAGCTGCATAAGCTATTTTGAGCTATTTTATTTGATTTCAAGCAAATTTTTGTAGTTGACAAGCAACAGCTATATATTGCATCGAGAAAATTTGCGAATACATCGAGACACGAATACATCGAGACACAAAAATAAAGTCGCAAATCGCTGATTTTAATTTAAGAAGGCGATTGCTGGGGTATTGTAATGAGAAGAAACTCAAATTTATAGACTTTTTTCAACAAGCTCATGTTAACTTCTAATCATCTTATGGACAGAAACCACAAAACAGCAGCCGAAGTCACTCTATCACGCGCTTAGAGAATTGGGATCAACCGTACAATTCCCTCCTCCGGGTTTGCAGAAATTGACTTCGAGGGCTTAGTAATATGATCTATTTAGTAAAAAAAAACAATCGATACCAACTTATGATTAATATTTTAGGCTATTAACTGAATAAAATAGCTTTTCGGTATAAAAAAAATTCTCCAGCAGTATACTCAACGCGTTTATTTGAAACGACTAAATAATGAGGAAAAAATTTTTAAATTACCATCAAACTTTCAGTTATACTTTCTACAGTAAGTTGTACTAGTTACGTCAAATCTTCAAATTTGTTTTGCTATAGTATTTTATCACAAATGCTACTGTTCTAAGACGTAACTAGTTTATTTGTGCTTGCTTTTTGTGACAGCGAAGAGCAAGTGATTTACGGTGCTTTGAATAGAAGAAACAAAACAAATTGTTTTCCATGGGTTGCCAATTTTTTTTCCCATTGATTTTTTTCGGTGTTTCTCCGTTGCACTTTTTCAAACCAATTTCATGCCTCTCTTGCGCACTACATTAAAATTGAAATTAATTTTGAAAGTTTTCTCTATATCTGTGACGTTAGCCTGTACTGTCACTATCATTTTATTTTGTTTTCTGATTTTCACAATAATCACTCAATCGTTTAGAATAAAACTTCTTCAATCAGGTGACGTACATTCAAATTTTTGTCCAGTGATTAGTTTTAATCTCATCTCAAAAAAACTACAAAAATGATATTAAAGTTTTGAATCTAAATTGCAGAAGCATAACGAGGAAACGTTCAAACCTAAAATCTCTTGTGAAAACGATTAGTGAAAGGACAATTTTCGGTTTTTCGGACTCGCGGATAAATGACTCAAACGAGCAAAAAATTATGATCTCTAGATAGTTAAAAATTTAATTCATTTAGATATGACAGATTGGTCGAAGCCTGCAAGAAAACAAAAGGTGGCGTTATGCTTTTTAGGCCCAAAAAATTTAACCCAAAATATGACAGTTAATGGATTGATTTCAAAACTGCATCTAATAAAAATGAAAAAACTAGCCTTTTGATTATATGCTACAGTATAAGCAAAGAAACAAAACTGAATTTATTAAAGAACTTGCTCTGTCGATTGACTATGCACAATCGTTTCATTTGGAGATTGTAACCTAAATTATCTTAGCATCGACGTTAGAGATTGACTTGATAAAACTTTCACACCATTAAATTACCAATCTTAACTTGACAGATCAGACAAAAAATCAATTGTAATAACTTCCTAAAAACAAATCACTAAGCAATTGTTTTCATAACTGAACTTTAAGAAGTATGTGGAAACAAAACTCTCTTAAAGCGCAAAATATATGATAGAAATTTACTCAGAAGCGTTAATGAAATCAAATCTGTCAAAATTAACTGAGAAGGCTTCTAACAGCAAAGTTATCCAGAAGCATTTTTAAATTGTTTAGTCGAAATGTAGTTGAAAGGAAAAAAGTATGCTCCACAAAAGACAGTTTTTATTCGCAATGACGAACCAAAAGAAAATTTCATATCGTAGTTAATCAGTTAAAAAAACCGAAGATAAAAAATGGAAATTTATTAACGGCATACGAAACTCCAAAAAATCTTCAAAACTCAATTTTGATTCTTAAAAACTTCTTCGGAGAAACGATAAGAACTAGCTTCAAAATAGCAAATCTCTATAACTGTTATTTTTCAACCTTAAATTGTTTATGTGAAAACGACCCCAAAAGCTGTCTTATTGGCAAACCACATAAAAACAAACCTAAAACTTCATTCTCATTCAGATTTAATGCTACCGTTGAGTGTAAAAAAGAACATCTCAAACCTGATGCAAAAAAAAACCACAGGGGCTATTTGACATTCAATCATGGGCTCTAAAAAAATAGTTGCAATGGAATCCACAAACATTCTATTTTTCTTTTCAATTAATACCTTAAAAACTATCGTTTTCCAGAAAAGCTAAAAAAGCAATTGTCACGCAAATGTACAAAAAGATGACCCTGAAGTACCTGAAAACTACAGGCATATCTCAATTAGTGGAGCACTATTAAAAACATTTAAAAAGTTTTTATATGAACAAATGAATGAAAATTGTTCATTTCAAATTCTTGTAAACAACACTCATTTTGGCTTTAGAACATCAGGCTTAACAATTGATATGTTATTTTGCGCGGAATCATTTAGCAAATTGATTGATACCAACAGTTTTGTTGTTTGCTGACCAATAGATCTCTGGAAGGCATTTGATTCTATTGACCGTAACCATTTAAAAGAAGAACTCTAACAACTGATTTTCCGAACCTGCTATAGACTTGATGAATTCTTTCATAAGCGACCGATGTCAGAAAACAATAATAAATAATGAATCTCCCCACATCGAGGTGTCCCACAAGGCACTAAATTAGGACCTTTCATTTGCAACCGGTACTTCAATGATCTTAACAAGCAACTGACTAACTCATGCAAAGTAGTTCAAAAATGCAGTTGACACAATTCTCTTTTTTGACGATAGAACATTAAAACTGCACTAAGAGAACTTTAAAAAAATTGCAGTATTTAATTAAAATACTTTCGGAGACACGTACTCGAACATATTGCTAGAAAAAATACACAAATGCCCTGTACAGAAATATTATTAAATAGAATTTCAATGTTAAATATCTCATTGTAAAATCAGACTTTTTTGAAATTTCAAGTTGAAAAGAAAGTGATCTTAAGAAAAATGGCATGTGGGATTCAATTACTACTGTCGATCAAAAAGACCTTTCCCATCAAAAAAAGACTACAACTCATGAACGCACTCGTTAGCAGTCACCTACATTATCCTGCCATTCTATTTCTAAAATTTTGTCAATTTCATCAGAAAAACAACAACTCGGCTTGGCAATTAAAATTTGTTTTGATCGTGAAAAATTCGATTCATGATTGACTTCAAGATATGTCTCAATGTATTGCCAGGAGCTACGTTTCTTGACTGGAAAGTAATTTGCAATTTATGGAGCTTGAAACACCTCTTATTACCAGCTTACGAAAAAAATTAATATGAAAACAATCACATGAATATGAACACAAGAAATAAAAATTTATATTTTGTCGAAACATTTAATGGGCAGTACATAGAAAATTCTTTTTTCAAAAAGTCGTTAACAATTTGGAACAGGTTACTTGATGACAAAATTTGTTTCAAGAATATCCCTACTTATAGAAAAGCAAAAACATGTAAGAATGATTACTTACTTTTATTTAAAGAAGTTCCTACGTCGGCAACCTATGGAAAAGTTTCAATATTTTTAGTGAAAGTTCCGTAAGATTGTGTTACTATCAATTAAATTGCTAAAGATTTCTTTTCTAACATTTTTGCTGTATTTGGCAATAATTATAAATCAAAATTTGACCTACACTTTTCATTGGCCAGTTAGAAGTATTTTCAAATGTACAAATCTTGAAATGTACAAACTTTGAAAATGAAAAAAAAAACACTTCATTTGCCTGTTGAAAGTATTTTCAAATGTACGTGTTTTTATTAATATTTTCAAAGTTATTGCTTTCTTGAGGAGGACGATGTGCGGTGAGACTGTACGGCTGATCCGAGTATTTTTTCCATCAGCAATTTCTATTTAAATTTGACTTACACATGTACATTTGAAAATACTTTCAACTGGCAAATAATGTGTTTTTTTTTTAAATTATGATTTTCAAAGTTGTTAGGAGGACATTGTACGGTTGATCCGAGTATTGTTTCCATCGGTAATTTCTATTTAAATTTGACTTACACATGTACATTTGAAAATACTTTCAACTGGCAAATAATGTGTTTTTTTTCTAAATTATTATTTTCAAAGTTGTTAGGAGGACATTGTACGGTTGATCCGGGTATTGTTTCCATCGGTAATTTCTATTTAAATTTGACTTACACATGTACATTTGAAAATACTTTCAACTGGCAAATAATGTGTTTTTTTTTTAAATTATTATTTTCCAAGTTGTTAGGAGGACATTGTACGGTTGATCCGAGTATTGTTTCCATCGGTAATTTCTATTTAAATTTGACTTACACATGTACATTTGAAAATACTTTCAACTGGCAAATAATGTGTTTTCTTTTAAATTATTATTTTCAAAGTTGTTAGGAGGACATTGACGGTTGATCCGAGTATTGTTTCCATCGGTAATTTCTATTTGAATTGCAGCAGCGTTAAATTGAGTCTTCTACCATGCAGAGTTTCAGCTTGAAGCATGTTTTAACTATACGTGTGTTGTTGAATGGGTCGAAAGTACTCTTCCGAACCTAATGTTGAGAAAACTGCAATTGCAGTCTGTTCACATACTCGTTTTGTTTTAAACAAATATTTGTGGCTTATATTCTGCAAGTGGCAAGATTATTTCATAAATCATGATTGACTACTTTGAGCATTCATTTTGCTACTGATTTTGATTTATCATTGTCAATGAACTTAGGGAAGACTCTTATCTAGATCGTGATGATTTTTTTTCAGCCTAACTTCTGATTTCTTTAAGTTCAGAGGTTTCTGTAAGTTGAATTCCTTTGTTAAAAGGTAGTTTAACTCCACTATCAAAAGTGTAAATGTCACGAAAAGCGTGATCAACTTCTTTTTTTTTTTGAAAATCGATTTATTTTTTCAGGTTTCAATCTATCATAATTCATTCTTGATATT